CAAAAAAAAAAAAAAAAAAAAGGACAAAAAAAAAAGGTGTTGTTTGCATTGAGCTATGCACATCTAGTTGGGGCTGTATAGCACTCTGTTGCAATGGAACCAAGATTTCCCAGGTGGGAGAGGCAGTACAGTATAGTAGTCAGAAGAGCCTAACTCTGGACTCAGACAAGTAGGCTTCCAGTCCTAGCTTCTTTGCTTACTGGCCATGCGACCCTAGGCAACTTACTAAACCCCCTTGAGTCTCAGTGTCCTTATTTAGCAAATGGGAATAGTAGCTGCTTCATGGGACTGCTGGGAGAATTCAATGAGGCGATGCATGTCAAGCACTTGGTAGTGTCAGGTGCACAGTCAGGATCAATAAACAGGAGCTAGCATTGCTATTACTATTATGTAGAAAGTCTTCTAAAGATCGAGCAAATCCCCTAGTTTACTTGCTACTCCTCATGTTCACTTCTGAAGTCTTCTACTTCAGAACCACTCTGACCACAGTGTCCTCACCCATTGTTTTAGTCCGTTTTGTGTTGCTATAACAGAAATACCTGAGACTGGTAATTTATAAAGGAAAGAGGTTTATTTGGCTTACGATTCTGGGACAGCTGCATCTGGCATGGGCCTCAGACTCCTGCTACTCATGGCGGAAAGTGGCAGGCAGCCAGCGGGGACAAGCAGATCACATGGCGAGAGGGAGCAAGAGAGAGAGAGAAGGTGCCAGGGTCTTTTTAAGCAACAAGCTCTCCTGGGAACTAATAGAGCCAGAACACACTCTTTAATCCCCCCTCCCCCAGGGAGAGCATTAATCCATTCATGAGGGATCCGCCCCCATGACTCAATCAGTTTCCAGCATTGCCACATTGGCGATCAAATTTCCACATGAGTTTTTTTTTTTTTATTTTTATTTATTTATTATTATTATTTTTTTATTATTTTTATTTTGTCAATATACAATGTAGTTCCCTTTTCCATAGGGGTTGCACCATTTTGCATTCCCACCAACAATGTATGAGAGTTCCTTTTTTTCCGCAACCATGCCAGCATTTATCTTTCAGCGTCTTTTGGATTTTTGCCATCCTAACTGGGGTGAGATGGTATCTCAGTGTGGTTTTGATTTGCATTTCCTGGATGCTGAGTGATGTTGAGCATTTTTTCATATGACTGTTGGCCATTTGCATATCTTCTTTAGAGAAATGCTTACTTAGTTCTTTTGCCCATTTTTTGATTGGGTTGCTTGTTTTTTTCTTGTAAAGTTGTTTGAGTTCTTTATATATTCTGGATATTAGTCCTTTGTCGGATGTGTATTTTGCAAATATTTTCTCCCACTCTGTTGGTTGTCTTTTAGCTCTGTTAATTGTTTCTTTTGCTGTGCAGAAGCTTTTTAGTTTGTTATAGTCCCATTTGTTTATTTTTCCTTTGGTTGCCTGTGCTTTTGGGGTCATATTCATGAAGTCTGTGCCCAGCCCTATTTGCTGAAGGGTTTCTCCTATGTTTTCTTTAATAAGTTTTATTGTTTCGGGGTGTATATTTAAATCCTTGATCCATTTTGAGTTGATTTTAGTATATGGTGAGAGGTATGGGTCTAGTTTCAATCTCCTGCATATGGATATCCAGTTATCCCAGCACCCTTTGCTGAAGAGGGAGTCCCGACCCCAGTGAATAGGCTTGATGCCTTTGTCGAAGATCAAATGGCAGTAAGTGTGTGGGTTGATTTCTGGGTGCTCTATTCTATTCCATTGATCAGTGTCTCTGTTTTTATACCAGTACCATGCTGTTTTGGTTATTATAGCTTTGTAGTATAGTTTAAAGTCAGGTAGAGTAATACCTCCAGCTTTATTTTTTTTGCTCAGCGTTGCTTTGGCTATTCGTGGTCTTTTGTTATTCCAGATAAATGACTGTATAGTTCTTTCCATTTCTGAGAGAACAAATTTCCACATGAGTTTTGGAGGGGACAACACATCCAAACTCCACCCATCCAGCATCCTCACTCCCTCTTCCCAGTCATAATCATTCACATCATTGACACCCTAGTCACTTGCCCTCTCTTTTACCTCTAGGCCCCCAGCTCCTTGCTGGTTTCCTGTTCCTCCTTTTTCATCCTTGCAGCTCTTTTTTTGCTCCTACTCTCAAAATCCTTGCCCTTTGTCCTTCAGCTCATTCCCCTCTCTGCTCCAAGCTGCTGAAAATGAATCCATAAAGGGACAGATCAGTGCTGCTGGGGCTTCATGGCCTCTAATCTTGGCTGATCCTCAGACTTCAAATCAAGCCTTCAAAGCCTCCTTTCCCATTCCTCACAGGGGCTCTTCCAAACCATAGTGCACCCTTTGATGCCCCTCATTCCACACCCATGCCCTCCACTCTAGGCAGGGGACCTGGCCTCCCAGTTCATGGGGAAAACAGAGATTATACAGGACCTTAACTCTTGCTGCTCTGCACGCACATCTTTTCTTCCCAGCAGAGCCCTGGATGTCACACCTTTGAACTCCCCTGGCACCTTTCCCAGGAGACCTGTTTTTCTCCTTTAACAAATGAATAAACTCATGTCCCTCCCATTTCAAAAGCAATTCCTTCCTCCAATCCTCACTTTGCCCTTCAGACACTGCCCAATCTCTCATTCCCAAATTAACATACTGTACAATTACCTTGTTTTGGTGTGGAGTTCTAGGAGCTTGGCCACACGTATAGATTTGTGTGACCACCACCACAATCGGGATGTGGAACTCTTCTATCAGCCCCCCAAATTCCCATGTGCTGCTCCTTTGTAGTCAAGGCCTCCCCAACTCTATCCCAGGCCACCTCTGATCTGTTCTCTGTCCCTATGGTTTTGCCTTTTAAGAATGTCATATACGTGGAAGTACATAGCGTGTAACCTGTTGAGACTGGCTTCTTCCACTCAGCATTATGCCTTTGAGATTCATCCATGTCATTGTGTCCATCGATAGTTGCTTTCTCTTGCTGAGTAGTGTTCCATTTTGTGGATATACCACAGTTTATCTATCCATTCACCTGCCGAAGGACATCTCATTCCCTTTGCATTTGTGCTT